CTTTATGAAATTTGACTCAAATTTTACCGGTATTGTATCTTTCTATTAAACCTCTTCTTTATTAAACCTAACATAAATATCATTTTTTTCCTAATTTTAGATTTTAATATTTCATTCACATCTCACACTTGACTATAATGTTTACAACTATAATGTTTACAAAGTTGTTTTGAACCTGATAATAATAACATTTTAAATTGGATAAATACAAAATATATAATAGTAATATATTTATTATTATAAATTAAATATATTTTTAAATCACAATAGAAATAGAACATTTACGTAAAAACAAAATCATTATCTGAACATAAAATATTTTACAAAATATATAGGGTACACGAAGTAAAACGGTTGCACAAGTTGACGTCAAAACAGGCCTGCAGAAAAGCCCAAAATATCTTATCTCCTAGTAGGCCATAGGTTTACGAAAGATGTCCAGCAATTACATATTCTAATTTTTTTTCAAATAAAGGAGCATTTAACAAAATATCTTATTTTTTATTAGGAAAATGTTTATCCGTCGAACTATTCCTTTAACCAGACAGATAAGTTTTATCGGTTATAATAAATTGTCATAAAATATTATTTTTCCGAGTGAAAATACAATTTACAAAAGAACAATGTGAACGATTTGATTTTGTTTTTAAAAATTAAAAAACATGCTAAGGCTAGACGAGTTTAATGCAAAAAGAAATACACTAAAATGGTGAGTACAAAAGACGACTTTTAATTTAATTTTTATAATCAAAATTCATAGAAGGAGAACATGACTTTAGTGCAAAGGTTACATAAGTCATTCTTGTTAAGAACAACATTTGATTGGTTAAATCAGAAATCATGCATAGAGTGAACGGCTTTGATAAAAAAAAAACCACACAATTCAAATTATGTTTGAATACGATAACTTATTTTATTTCTTTATTATGTATGATTTGAGGAAAAACATTTGACTTGTTTTTATTTTTGTAATTTATTTTCAAACGAAAATATGTATGAAAATTGAATAAAAAGATTTATATATTAGGTTAACAAATTAGGGTTGGGATACAAAATTACATTAATTTATTAATTTGTTGAGATTCAAAATAGGATGTCACAGGGAAGAAAAATTTTCTATCTTGTTTTAAGATTTTTTGTAATTGATTGTATGATTTATTTAAAAATTTATCTAACACCAATTTTGATTTGGTTTTAATAAATGGTTAAGAAAATGTTTTTAGCAAAAATATCCAAAAACTATTTGAAGTAGAAAAAAAAATTTAATGAATTAATTCGTAATTTGTTTGATTTATTTTATAATTTTGTTAATAATATATTGCATGCATTAAAGAGTAATTTTTAGTTATTTATTATGTTAAATGAAATTTGTTATTTAAGTATGTAATTTAGATGAGAACTTAGGAAATGGTCTAAGAGGTTGTTTTAAAAACATGATACTAGAATATTTTCATAATAAAAGGTTGAAACTATATAAACAGATTTTCTATTAATTCCTTTTATAAAGAACATTATTTCTTTAAACTTCTCTTCTATCTTCTTTATAAATATTTGACTTTATTATTTATCTATTTGAAGATCAGAGTACGTCATAGGATTTTTGACGTTGAGATTTAAAATCTTATTCGATTAGAATCTTGAACAAAGTGAGTTCATATTTTGTCCTTATTTTTTAGTTTTTTAAGAAATTTATTGTATGTGGGGTCTTTGGGCTTACATGTAGAATTTCAGGATTCAAGTCGAATCTTTGTTCAATTAAGATTGTTAGGATGTGTTTTTTCTATTTAAAATTTGTTTTGTTTTTAGAATTGTTATGTAATTAAGTGAAATTGATGCGTAATTTGAATGGGATGATTTGAATTATTGGATATTAAATTATGCTGAATTGTTGTCATGTGAGATGCATATGTGAAAGCATCAATTGTTAGCATTTTGGTCTCAAGGGTTGATAAATTTAACTTCTTTAGTTTCAAGTAGTACATTTGACGAGTTGATTTTTCATTAAAAATTTTGAAGAAAAAAGGGAAAACACCATTTGAAACCTAAAGTAGTACAATTGTCATTTACTTGAACTATGTTATAATTTTTATGTGTAAAATCTTGTTGTTATAATGGTTTCGTTTCAAAGATTGATAACTTTGTTTCAATTAGTATTGGAGTATGTGTTTGTTCTTTTAAAATTGGGGTTTAGTTGTTAATAGGAACTTCTCTATAATATCTTTGGTGATTAGATCTGGAACTTCTTGAGCTAAGAGATCGATATATTAAAGCATTATAAAGTTTATTAAGTGGAGAATAGTTTAAGCAAAGTCATTGCTCAATTAAAACTCAAAAAGAAAGTTTCGCTTTCGGTATACCATCAGGCACCGTTGTAGCATTGTTGGGTGCCACTTAGACAATGGCCACTGACTTAAGGGCGTTGGGTGTGACTTATGGACCATTGAGTGCTCTCACATCAACGAGTCCCATAAGTTTGTGGTGTACCACTTTTCCAACGTTGGACGCCATTCTATTTTTGTTCTTAGTCACCTCCGGAAGATTGAGATTCCTACTTTGTTAATCATTGAATCGAGTTAAAATTTTGACAATCGATTCTAGATACATAATTCTTTACTTAGACCGTTGTGATATTTAATTAGAAGATTGTGGCTAAAATAATGTATCTCACATTTTTTATGTATTTGATGAAAACAAGGTAAGTGAATATTATGCAAATGTAATAGAAAATGAATGATGAATTATTATAATGTATTTTGAAATAAATAGTAGGTAAATTATTTTATGAGATGAGTTTGGATTGGGGTAAACTACATAGGTATGCCATGATGTGATGATTTAAGATTTATATGGAAATATGATAAATGAGCTATTGTGATATGATATTTTTTGACTTTTTTTTGTGATTGGACTTATTAATTTGGTTATGTTTATCAGCTATGTAATGTTTTAAACTAGTAGATTGAATTTTAATTAATTTGGAATGTTATAGTACAAATTTAGAAAAGTATTGTATAATTGGTAATATTTTTAACTGTATTATAATATTTCATAACTTACTACTTTTTACATAGAAGTTGTCCTAGTCTTAGTACGATTTATGGGTTTTAAAGGTAAAGTCAAATTTCGATCTCCGCATGCACGATTTTGGTGGAAAAGGTAATCATAATCCATTTTCCACGACTTCTAGAAATCATATTTTCAAAACTAAAGTTCTTATATTTGCACGACTTCTATGTAAGTTGGAATTTTAATTTGAAGTCATGTGTATAAAATGTGGTTTTTTAAAGAAAGTTGTTCACTACTTATCCAGAATTAGTCAAATTATTCATTATAGTAAAATTAGTAAAACAATTACACCATTTTAATAAGAAAACCTATATATTATTGAACAAAATATAACATTTATCTGTATAGCTCAGTACAATGAGTAATATCAATTTCCGGTACACAGAAAACTTCAAAAAATCAGTCTTAAGAAAATGCAACATTTATTTATGAATAAGAATCCTTTTACTTTAAAAGTAACTGAAATAATTTACTTATATATTTTTATTTTCTATTTTATTTTAAATTAACTATTTATAAGATTAATTAAATAATAAGTACATTAATTTAATTATGTAATAAGAAATATCATTCTTTCTTCAATTACTTCTAAGTATTATATCTCTCTCTTATTTATTAATAATTATTTAATTATGAAAAAAATATTATAAAAATCTTTGATAACAAAAATTTTACACTTGATAAAAAACTCATATTAAATATCATACTTTAATTTATAAAATAAGTATAATTTAATTAAATATAATTACATTAAAATTAATTTATATTTTAATTAATTTTTTTTATAATAATGTTGTAATGAAATAATATTATTCACAATAATTAAATATAAAATTTTAATATAATGTTATCAGTTTATTAAATTTATTAACATTTGTAATAATATCTTATATTTTAAAATAATGTAAATAAAAATTTAAATATATTTCTATCATATTTCTGATTCTATGAAAAAAATATTAAACAAATCTATGTTTTTGATTAAAATTACATTTAAAATAAATATTTAAATATACTTTTATTATTTAGAATGCATGATCGAAATTAAAGTTATGCTTTATTATTTATTTAATATTTTAAAGAGTTAAAAATTATATCATTAAAAAATTAATTAAATTTTAAATTATTGAAAAGTTAACTAAAATATAGATAGATATTACAAAATGTAATAATTTTAATAAAATAAATTAATATTTATTATAAGTATTTTTATGAGTCGTACGTTTATGAGTAATGAAAATTTTCATAATACTCTTTAGCATATGGAAATGATTATTAAACAGGAAGAGAAAAGTGTTTGGAGAAAAAATATCAATAATTATTTCACTTATTATTTAATTAATCTGAACACTGAATTTGAAATAAAATGAAGGACTACCACGAAGAGTAACTCATATTTTATCTACTCTTGGAGTAAGTATATGTATATCCCTATTTATAACATATAACTGAAACGTAAATTACAATGTTTACGAAAAAAAAACCTATTTTTGCACAAATAATATTATATTGATTGATTCCTAGTACATGTATTTGTTGTTTAAATAATCCCTTTAATATCATGTGCTTAAAGCTAACATATGCAAATTTCAGTTTCTAGCCCTTGCGTCTCAGCAAAACATTTCTTCTGTCACCAAACTTCACTCTTACGAAGTTGGTAATTGAAATCCCACGCATTTTCTCTCTTATATATTCTGGAAACTTGTGCATTCGTAACTATCACGTCTGCTTAAAACAGAAAACACAGGAACCACATCTTCTAACTAACTTGCTTTTCGTGAAACCAAGTAACATAGATTAAGTTAAAACCTCATATATATCAACTTTTCAGTTACTGTTTCTTGCAAGTCATGGCAACACTGCTTCTTTTCTTTAGCATTTGCCCAATATATATCAAAGCCTAACTGCATACAAGAATGCAACTTTAACAATCACATGCAAAACAAAAGAGTTAATCAAAGCACAACACAGAAGGCAGATTAGGAAGCTGAAAAAATCTATTGCCAACAATGGATGCTATTATTAAAGCAGACTTGAATATGTATAATAATCATGGTGAACAAAAGCTACCACTTCTGCACAACATGGGGGTTCCAGATGCAGATAGAAGCCTCATTCAGAGAGCCATAAGTCAAACATTTCAAAGCACAGCCCATTTGGCAAATCTGTTACCAACTGGCACTGTTCTTGCTTTCCAACTTCTGTCTCCAATAGTCACAAATCAAGGCAACTGTGACTCGGTTTGCAAGTTCATGACTGCTACAGTCGTGGCTCTCTGTGGTGCCTCTTGTTTCTTGCAATGCTTTACCGATAGCTTCAGGAATGATAAGGGGAATGTTTGTTATGGACTTGCCACCTTCAAGGGCTTGTGGGTCATTGATGGATCCGCCACTCTTCCACCTGAACTTGGTGCAAAATTTAGATTGAAGTTTATCGACTTCATGCATGCAGTGATGTCAGTTTTGGTGTTTGCAGCAGTTGCATTATTTGATCAGAATGTGGTGAATTGCTTCTTTCCATCACCTTCAACAGAGGCACGGGAAATCCTAACAGTGTTGCCTGTGGCCACAGGGATTTTTTGCAGCATGCTCTTTGTGGCGTTTCCCACACATAGACATGGAATTGGCTTCCCACTATCACCGAACTAAAAGTTGGATAATCAATTCGATTCTCTTGTCTGCAAAACTATAGAGGAATTTAAGTGAATTTCATTGCTGTGTTATCATCTAAATAAAGTGGAATATTTTTTTCATTCTATCAAACACTGGTACATATAATATATAGACCCCTTTCCATGATACGTGATAGATTCAATCACAAATTCCTTTAAATACAGCTATGTGCTCTTATATATATACACAGTTTCAGCAGAGATAGGATTTGCAGTTTATTTATTCAAGATCATCTGCATATTTCAGTATAGCTTTCAGTGAAGAGCCTGTGTGAAAAGTTTCACAGCCATCCCACAAGGAAAGCAAGCAAGCAGAACTCTATGAATGAACAAACCTAGATGCTATAACTTGTATCAGAGTTTATCCATATGTTTAGAAAAAAGTGCAGTCATGTAAATCTCTTTCTTTGTTTCTTGCATATATCAGTACTAAAATGGCATCAGCATGAGAACTAAATTTAAATATTTCCACAAGAATAAATCTCAAGTTATTTTCTTCAAAAGCTTTGTATCGAATTTATTTGATTTTCATCCTCATAAATAAAATTATTTAGAAATATAGATTTTTTTAAGTGTTTTTTAGTCTCTACTATTAAGTATCACTGATTTAGACTAAAAGTAAAATAATAATTAGGATAATGACAAATGTTTTAAATTGAGATGTTATATTATTTTTAATTTATTCCATAACATAATATATTTATTATTTTATATTATCAAGGTAACTGTAGAATTTTTTTAATTTATTTTTAATAGTGAATGAATCACGATTTTATTTATTAATTTAGTTCTTTATTTAAAAATAAAATCTTCCTAATTTTTCATTCCAAATTTTCTTTTTGGTAATAACTTTTCTTATATGCTTATAATTTAATGTTAACATGGTATTATTCTTATACTTTTCGACCGTGTAATATACCAGAAATTATGATTCCTAGTAGAAAAAATAAATCACTAAGTGGGTTTAATATTCTAAATTTTATATAATCACCAAACAAGTTAGTTGATAAATCTTCTAACTTTTTTTTGTCTGTATGCATGTTTTCTTTTAATGTTTAGATATAGTAAAATTTAAATGCGTATAAAAGATGGAAAAAAATGGAGTTCAAAACTAAACAAGTTATAACTATTGACATGGGTATGAAGAATGCCAAGGATGGAAAATTTAAAGAAAATTAAGAGGTCCATATAGGGTAGTCATAAAAACTTCCTATGAAATTTGGCTAAGTTGAAATTATGTTACAACTAAATTATGCTTGAATAAACTATTTCATTAAACATTTATAGAAGAAGAACTAAAAATTTAAAAATGAGTTGAATTCTTCCACGAGTTATTATCTACTCATACATTTCAACTTCTGAAGAAATTAGGTGAGAAAGAATTGATCGTAAAACAAACTTTTGAAGATATATGACTGCTTTCAATTATTTTTAATTTAAAAAATTAGCATTAAATTATATATATAAATTACATTAATACTTTTTTCTTAATTTATTTGGGTTTTTCTTGAAACCAAATCCTTTGTCTTTCAGTGAGTGTCTTATGTAATAAAAATTGTTTCAAATAAATATGAGTATTACAAAAGCAGTTAAAATCTCCTAGAAAGATAAGGAGTTTCATTTTTGGTGCATTGTGCACTTCCTTTGCAAGTCATGGGAAACTTCATCTGAAACGACTTAATGGTTGTTCCTCTTCCTTCAGTGGCTCTTAGCAGATCATGGTGAGCATCTTGGATTTGTTGTAGATTTTTTTAGTGAGTCGTGGTTATTTGACTTATCATAAACTCATCCAGCACCTATCATAAATAGGTGTTTCTATTCTCCTCCGAAAACACTTTTCATTCCTTTCTCTCCACTTTTCTTCTATCATTCTTGTTTTCTCTTCTTTCTTTCTTTCTTTTCTTAAAATCTTTGGGTTATTTATTTTTAAGACTTTATCTTACTAATTCTTAGGTTCTTCGAAAACAATTGAGAAGTTTCTATTATATCACAGAAAACTTACGTAATACATTACGAATAAGTTCTTAAGGAAAGTAAATATACATGACTTAGGAAGTCCACTTTGTTCATGTTTTTCATCATCTTCTACTAACCCTAGGGACTTATAGTTGATGGTATAAACATCGACAATAACTCTACATTGAAGAAGTAGAACAACATTTTCGGAACTCAATATACTTTTCCGAAATCCTTTTTAGATGTTTCAAAGACCGAAGTCTTCGCGGGACTAAATTTTCGACCTAGAAATGTGTGTCTACTCTAATAGACACGTATAAAGTTGCTTCTGCTCTTACAACCATCAAACCTGACTTCAATTGTCTTGTAAAAGAGATTGAAGACTGTATTCATTTGAATAAGGTATGCCAAAACACTTCACTCAATGCATTATCTATTGATTTGTTCGTTGTGTACTACTCTTACAAGAAAGCCAATGATATTTGGGACTCGTTGATTCTCAATTACACTACCAAAGATGTTGTGAGCCAAAGGATCGTCAACAAAAATTACTACCGTTGGAAAATTATACAAAATAATGACATCAATATCTTTTTCAACGAGAACCATAAATTGTTCGAAGATATTAAAGCAATAGTCTTATTTGATGAGTTCTTTTTAAAACTTATAATCGAAAAGCTTCTAGAATCTTGGATGAACTACAAACAACAACTAAAGCACAAACACAGATAAATGTCACCATCAAACCTTATCATGTACATTATCATCAAAGACACCAACTGAAAGGAGTGTGTTGTTACAAGTGCCAAGACATTATCAACAAAAGCAAATATGGTATAAGACAAATCAACTCCAAAAAGGTACAAGAAAAAACATAATCACAAGAAGAAATATTTTGGAAATTCCTATCCTAAGGGATCTAACCTCACTTTTAAGAAAAAAGAAAATTGCTTTGTGTATGAAAACTAGGCCATCATGCATCTTAGTGCAGACAGATAGTTAGAAACTATAATCCTCCTAAGGAAACTATAGCTCAAGGAGAAACATTTATGTTGTTGTCATCATAAAAAAACACACAAGGGTTTGGGTTTAGCTTTCACATAGCTTCCCTCATCAACAATTATCATGTTGGAGGACATCATGGAGTTGTCATCAACATTGTAACTAAAATTATGTTAATGACACATAAAACAAAAAATAGCCCTATCAACACCTTCATCCACTTTTGAAGGATCAACATAACTTTCTCCAAATTATGTATCATCTTCCTATCAGCTTCCTTTTCTTTAGTGCTCATGAAACTGTCATCCTTTCCTTCACACTTCATATAAGTACCCCTTTCATCAAACCCATAATCAGTGCACCATCTGGAGTAGTTGCAACCAACATCTTCAATTTCATTATGTTTAAAAAAATCAACAACCACAAGGATTGAGTATTCCATTCTGTAAAAAAAAAATCAATAATGGTCTCTTTTGAAAAACAATGACACAAATAACATAGGTTTCATGTATTTTACCTTGCACTTAGGGCAACTCCAAAATTATTTCCTTTAGTTCTTAGTAGTTTTTGTAGTTCTTAATACTAATTTCTCTCCACAATGACAAATGGGTGAAACATTCAAACTCCTTGATCCTTCACCACCACAACAACAGAGATTAGAGCTTTGCTTCTGCCACCCATTACTTGTGGAAGACGAACATGAATGGCCCATAGTCATTCTTCAAATACTCCAACGACAACGCAAACAAAAGAAAGGAACATCAACACGTCAAACAAAATAAACATCAACCAACAACATCAAAGAAGTACACAAATGAGGTTAAAAAATTTCGCAGCACAAGAACAACCACCACCAACATCGTCGTAGAAGAACAAATTACAACTTGGTTAATGTGGAACAACACCAACAACATGGCAGAAGAACAACGACAAACACCTTAAGCATCCTCTAATTAAGGATTCAACGAATTAGGGATTCAAAAAAATCCCAAATTTTTTATTTTCAAAATAACAAAATCCCCCTAATTAATAACCTCACTCTGACATGTTGTTTAAAAAAGTCACATCAACGTGTCATGTTAATGTGCCACGTCAAGGTGTCATGTTAACGTAGTTTTAACGTTATTAAGCCAATTTTAACGATAGAGGTCCAATTGTATCAATTTTTCACAAGTAAAGACCCAATTAAGAACAAAAATAAATGAGAAACTCATTTGAGACTTCGAACAAAAAATAAGGACCTCGAGAATAATTTAACCTAATATTTATTGATATTATAAATGATTAGAACTAAACTTGAAATGTGTTAAACCTCACTAGTCAACCCGGTTCTTTATGGGTTCGAGTCGGGTTGGATTAAAAAAATTACAAATTTCGACACAGACTACAAATGAACTCGGTATACTAAGAATTCGACTCACTCAGGTTGAATCCATGGTGAGTTAGGTTGACTCACCAACCTACTTATAAATTTAAAATATTAAAAAAACAAAAGTACTAAAAGCTCTTATATTTAAATATATTTGGATTGTATTGTATTTTTGGGATTTTGAATTATATTTAGAGTTTAACATTGTTTTGCATTGTATTTAGATTGAATTTTATTTAAATTTCAATTAGAAAAAAATTTACAATTTTATTTTAAGATTGAAAAAAAAAATTATAATTAAATGAGTCAATCTATTTGACCTATCAATTTATACCAAAATAAATCAAATTAAATTTTTTAAACTCACTAATAAATAAATAAAAATAAATACATCAAATTAAATTAAATGAACTCGCTAAATAATAAGCTATAATCAAGTTTGAAACCAAAGTCAACCTCAATTTCATTTTATCTTTAGAAATAAGACACATTGTTTGTCTCTAGTGACAGCTTCACATGAGTGAACACTAAGTTTCATTTCCAAACCGTCAAAATCTAACGCCATATCTCTCTCACACACAAACATGCACGTTATTTCAATCAAGTCATGCTCATTCAACAATTTCTCACCATTTTTATAGATAAAAGAGGAAGAAAAGGAAAATCATGAGATTCTGGGCTTTTGTATTTATTTATTTTTGATTTAAAGTTTTGGTGAGAGAATGAGGGATTCCGTGACGTGAATTACAGTAACAGCCAATGGCAATTGAATAGCCTCCGTCACAATTTTACAAGGCGAAGGAGAAAGAGAATGTGATAAGGCCTGACCTTGATATCACGAAAAACAATCACACACAAGCTCCCTCTTTCACCACCAATCATCCCTTACGCCCTATACAAAAATCTCTTCCCAACAGATAAGAGGGTCCCACTTATCCACTTCCCTATCCTTCACCCCACCAAACCACCCTGCTTCCTCACCATCTCTCACCCTCCATTCCATCACTCCACTCACCAACCCTGATCACACAATCAAGCGCATCGCATGCATTGACTCCGCGAAGAACCCGATCACAGCCCTGCATAAACAAAACCAGACGGTTAACGAGAGCCACAGGTACTCTCACCAGAACAATATCGCATACACACTCTCTTCTTCTCTCATTCTCGCCATTCCCTCTTCCTCGTTCGGGTTCAGATGGAGTCGCGAGTGCTGTCACGCGCCGGAGCCTTCTCCTCCCTCGCTCACCTCCGCAAGTCTCCGCGGGACGTCGCTGGCGGTGCCTCCTTCGTCACGGTGAAGACCGTGGGGTCCCTTGCGGAAGGTGGGAATCTGATTTGGGGGAGGCAGCTGCGTCCGGAGCTCTGCTCGCCGGCGCTGAAGAAGGAGGCCGTCCTCCTCCGACCTTGCCTTGCCGCCACCTCCTCACCGGCCGAGGGTGGTGATTCCGCCGGGTGAGGTCCGTTTCATCCGTTCTGACTCGGCCAACTCGGCCACGTCACTCTCCTAACTAATGCCGTTCAATTTTTTTCATTACAGGGAAAAGGTTGCTCCCGCGGGATTCTTCGACAAATACCCCGCTCTTGTCACAGGGTTTTTCTTCTTCACGTGGTACGTCACTTGACTCTGTTCTTGTTACATGCCATCAATCTCTGACTCTGTAGTGGCTTCCGCTTACGTCGCCTTTGTTTTCCTGATGTAGGTACTTCTTGAACGTGATTTTCAACATCCTCAACAAGAAGATCTACAACTATTTCCCCTATCCGTAGTAAGTGTTCAGCGACTCTCTATCTTGCACTTTGTCTGGTGTTGGCTCGTTGATCAATGAAATCATATGCGCAAACATTGTCTTTGGCTTTGTTAAAGTCGATTAATATTGAGTTAAGGTCAACTTAAGGAATATCGTAATAATTGATTTCGTATTTCTTGATTATTATATTTTGTAATAAAATGACACTCTGTTAGTGTCTATGAAATGAGTTAGAACGGTCTGTTCTGAATGATGTATACAGATTCTCTTGATTTTAAATCTATATTAAGAATAGAGCAAACCATTGTCTAAGACTAAGAGTTAATATATTTTAATTGAGCAAATAACCAATGTGGAGACCTTTCAATTTTCTTCTTAAATTATGAAAACAAAAATCTAATTTACTTTTTGAGTGCCCCAAAAATGCCACACACTAAATCAATTTTTTTTTTCATTTTTTAAAGAGTAAATTGACGAGACTCACTCTCATGGACATGGTTTTGCTTTGAATTTCTCCAATTCAATAATGAGTTTATATACTCTATTAATCAGATTTGTTTGTATGATTTAAAAAAAAAATATTAAATCTCAATAATCTTGTATATTAAATTTTGACAAGGAAATAAATCTGTAATCTGTCTGTTTAAATTATATCCTTCGTTAATAATTTACTAATTTAAACGTGAGNTTAGCATTAAATTATATATATAAATTACATTAATACTTTTTTCTTAATTTATTTGGGTTTTTCTTGAAACCAAATCCTTTGTCTTTCAGTGAGTGTCTTATGTAATAAAAATTGTTTCAAATAAATATGAGTATTACAAAAGCAGTTAAAATCTCCTAGAAAGATAAGGAGTTTAATTTTTGGTGCATTGTGCACTTCCTTTGCAAGTCATGGGAAACTTCATCTGAAACGACTTAATGGTTGTTCCTCTTCCTTCAGTGGCTCTTAGCAGATCATGGTGAGCATCTTGGATTTGTTGTAGATTTTTTTAGTGAGTCGTGGTTATTTGACTTATCATAAACTCATCCAGCACCTATCATAAATAGGTGTTTCTATTCTCCTCCGAAAACACTTTTCATTCCTTTCTCTCCACTTTTCTTCTATCATTCTTGTTTTCTCTTCTTTCTTTCTTTCTTTTCTTAAAATCTTTGGGTTATTTATTTTTAAGACTTTATCTTACTAATTCTTAGGTTCTTCGAAAACAATTGAGAAGTTTCTATTATATCACAGAAAACTTACGTAATACATTACGAATAAGTTCTTAAGGAAAGTAAATATACATGACTTAGGAAGTCCACTTTGTTCATGTTTTTCATCATCTTCTACTAACCCTAGGGACTTATAGTTGATGGTATAAACATCGACAATAACTCTACATTGAAGAAGTAGAACAACATTTTCGGAACTCAATATACTTTTCCGAAATCCTTTTTAGATGTTTCAAAGACCGAAGTCTTCGCGGGACTAAATTTTCGACCTAGAAATGTGTGTCTACTCTAATAGACACGTATAAAGTTGCTTCTGCTCTTACAACCATCAAACCTGACTTCAATTGTCTTGTAAAAGAGATTGAAGACTGTATTCATTTGAATAAGGTATGCCAAAACACTTCACTCAATGCATTATCTATTGATTTGTTCGTTGTGTACTACTCTTACAAGAAAGCCAATGATATTTGGGACTCGTTGATTCTCAATTACACTACCAAAGATGTTGTGAGCCAAAGGATCGTCAACAAAAATTACTACCGTTGGAAAATTATACAAAATAATGACATCAATATCTTTTTCAACGAGAACCATAAATTGTTCGAAGATATTAAAGCAATAGTCTTATTTGATGAGTTCTTTTTAAAACTTATAATCGAAAAGCTTCTAGAATCTTGGATGAACTACAAACAACAACTAAAGCACAAACACAGATAAATGTCACCATCAAACCTTATCATGTACATTATCATCAAAGACACCAACTGAAAGGAGTGTGTTGTTACAAGTGCCAAGACATTATCAACAAAAGCAAATATGGTATAAGACAAATCAACTCCAAAAAGGTACAAGAAAAAACATAATCACAAGAAGAAATATTTTGGAAATTCCTATCCTAAGGGATCTAACCTCACTTTTAAGAAAAAAGAAAATTGCTTTGTGTATGAAAACTAGGCCATCATGCATCTTAGTGCAGACAGATAGTTAGAAACTATAATCCTCCTAAGGAAACTATAGCTCAAGGAGAAACATTTATGTTGTTGTCATCATAAAAAAACACACAAGGGTTTGGGTTTAGCTTTCACATAGCTTCCCTCATCAACAATTATCATGTTGGAGGACATCATGGAGTTGTCATCAACATTGTAACTAAAATTATGTTAATGACACATAAAACAAAAAATAGCCCTATCAACACCTTCATCCACTTTTGAAGGATCAACATAACTTTCTCCAAATTATGTATCATCTTCCTATCAGCTTCCTTTNAAAGACACCAACTGAAAGGAGTGTGTTGTTACAAGTGCCAAGACATTATCAACAAAAGCAAATATGGTATAAGACAAATCAACTCCAAAAAGGTATAAGAAAAAACATAATCACAAGAAGAAATATTTTGGAAATTCCCATCCTAATGGATCTAACCTCACTTTTAAGAAAAAAGAAAAATTGTTTTGTGTATGAAAACTAGGCCATCATGCACCTTAGTGCAGACAGAGAGTTAGAAACTACAATCCCCCTAAGGAAACTATAGCTCAAGGAGAAACATTTATGTTGTTGTCATCATCAAAAAACACACAAGAGTTTGAGTTTAGCTTTCACATAGCTTCCCTCATAAAAAACTATCATGTTGGAGGACATCATGGAGTTGTCATCCACATTGTAACTAAAATTATGTTAATGACACATAAAACAAAAAATAGCCCTATCAACACCTTCATCCACTTTTGAAGAATCAACATAACTTTCTCCAAATTACATATCATTTTCCTATCAGCTTCCTTTTCTTTAGTGCTCATGAAACTGTCATCCTTTCCTTCACACTTCATATAAGTACCCCTTTCGTCAAACCCATCATCAGTGCACCATCTAGAGTAGTTGCAACCAACATCTTCACTTTCATTTTGTTTAAAAAAATCAACAACCACAAGGATTGAGTATTCCATTCTGTAAAAAAAAAAATCAACAATGGTCTCTTTTGAAAAACAATGACACAAATAACATAGGTTTCATGTATTTTACCTTGCACTTAGGGCAACTCCAAAATTATTTCCTTTAGTTCTTAGTAGTTTTTGTAGTTCTTAATACTAATTTCTCTCCACAATGACAAATGGGTGAATACTTCAAACTCCTTGATCCTTCACCACCACAACAACAGAGATTAGAGCTTTGCTTCTGTCACCCATTACTTGTGGAAGACGAACTTGAATGGCCCATAGTCATTCTTCAAATACTCCAACGACAACGCAAACAAAAGAAAGGAACATTAACACGTCAAACAAAATAAACATCAACCAACAACATCGAAGAAGTACACAAATGAGGTTAAAAAATTTTGCAGCACAAGAACAACCACCACCAACATCATCGTAGAAGAACAAATTACAACTTGATTAATGTGGAACGACACCAACAACATGGTAGAAGAACAACGACAAACACCTTAAGCATCCTCTAATTAAGGATTCAACGAATTAGGGATTCAAAAAAATCCCAAATTTTTTATTTTCAAAATAACAAAATCCCCCTAATTAATAACCTCACTCTGTCACATTGTTTAAAAAAGTCACATCAACATGTCATGTTAATGTGCTACGTCAACGTGTCATGTTAACATATTTTTAATGTTATTAAGCCAATTTTAACGAGAGGTCGAATTGTATCAAATTTTCAATTTAACCTAATATTTATTGATATTATAAATGATTAGAACTAAACTTGAAATGTGTTAAACCTCACTAGTCAACCCGGTCCTCTATGGGTTCGAGTCGGGTTGGATTAAAAAAATTACAAATTTCGACACAGACTACAAATGAACTCGGTATACTAAGAATTCGACTCACTCAGGTTGAATCCATGGTGAGTTAGGTTGACTCACCAACCTACTTATAAATTTAAAATATTAAAAAAACAAAAGTACTAAATGCTCTTATATTTAAATATATTTGGATTGTATTGTATTTTTGTGATTTTGAATTATATTTAGAGTTTAACATCGTTTTGCATTGTATTTAGATTGAATTTTATTTAAATTTCAATTAAAAAAAATTTTACAATTTTATTTTAAGATTAAAAAAAAATTTATAATTAAATGAGTCAATCTATTTGACCTATCAATTTATACCAAAATAAATCAAATTAAATATTTTAAACTCACTAATAAATAAATAAAAATAAATACATCAAATTAAATTAAATGAACTCGCTAAATAATAAGCTATAATCAAGTTTGAAACCAAAGTCAACCTCAATTTCATTTTATCTTTAGAAATAAGACACATTGTTTGTCTCTAGTGACAGCTTCACATGAGTGAACACTAAGTTTCATTTCCAAACCGTCAAAATCTAACGCCATATCTCTCTCACACACAAACATGCACGTTATTTCAATCAAGTCATGCTCATTCAACAATTTCTCACCATTTTTATAGATAAAAGAGGAAGAAAAGGAAAATCATGAGATTCTGGGCTTTTGTATTTATTTATTTTTGATTTAAAGTTTTGGTGAGAGAATGAGGGATTCCGTGACGTGAATTACAGTAACAGCCAATGGCAATTGAATAGCCTCCGTCACAATTTTACAAGGCGAAGGAGAAAGAGAATGTGATAAGGCCTGACCTTGATATCACGAAAAACAATCACACACAAGCTCCCTCTTTCACCACCAATCATCCCTTACGCCCTATACAAAAATCTCTTCCCAACAGATAAGAGGGTCCCACTTATCCACTTCCCTATCCTTCACCCCACCAAACCACCCTGCTTCCTCACCATCTCTCACCCTCCATTCCATCACTCCACTCACCAACCCTGATCACACAATCAAGCGCATCGCATGCATTGACT